TTTGGATTTTGGTATCAGGAGCACATGATGTGCGAAGAGGTGGCACGAGAAATACATGGTATGTATCGAAATTCTGAGGAAATTTTACATTTTATTATTAGGAGAACATGATACTCAGAGAAATAGCTCAACTTTTAATTAAATATCAATACTTACCTCTTGTATCAGAAGAACGTAATGTGCGAGTAGGTATCATAATTTTTATTTTCTGCTCGATACTTACCTTTTGTATCAGGAGAACGTAATGTGCGAGTTGGTATCATAATTTTTATTTTCTTCTTGAAACTTACCTTTTGTATGAGGATCGCTTTAACAAAGAGGAGAGATACCAGTGAAAAGGGGGAAATTAAAGGGAAATGTGCTAGAAAATGAATAGACGTGAAGGGAACTGTCGGAAGTTGTTCAAGTATGGGTACAGAATATGTGCGAGAGAGAGAGAGAGAGAGAGAGAGAGAGAAACATGTGCGATAAGGATAGCTATCGATTTTGTTTTAAATTGATAATATATGGTTGGAATCCATGTATGACATATAGCTATCATTCGTGAACGGCGACCGACTCGCCATCTCGCGGACAAACACCCGAAGCTCGAGTGCGTGTGCAAGAGAGGGAAAGGAATATGTAAGAAAAGGATAGTGTGAGTTCAGGGAAAGAGAGAGAAAGGTATATACAAGACAAGGATACAGCGTGCGTGAGCGAAAGAAAGAGATAGGTATATAAAAGACAAGGATACAGCGAGCGTGAGGGAAAGAGAGAGAAAGGAACCCGAAAGACAAGGATAGAGTAAGCGTGAGCGAAAGAGAGAGAACGAAACATGTGCGGCAAGGATAGCGATTGTGGTGGCGCCATCTACTAACAGAACGCTCAAGCTTGTCGTGAAATAGTTCCACCGTTACGCTGCTAGATGACGCCAGCTATTTAAATTTTCAAAAACGTAATAAAAACCGAAAATTCTTATTACAGGTCAATTCTTGTAATGCTTCATGAGCATTCTCGTTAACGTTCATTGTTTACTAAAACAAATTAATGAATTAATTTACATGTAAACGTATGGTAAAAGGGTGGCGCCATCTAGCGGCGAAATGATGGACCTATTTCTCGACAAGCTTGAGCGTTTTGTTAGTAGATGGCGCCACCACACTTGCTATCCTTGTCGCACATGTTTCGTTCTCTTTCGCACTCGCACGAAGGGTACCTGTCACTCATAAACAATTTCGCGTAGGTTGTCTCATCGAGAAATCATTGATTATTAATTAATAACAATCGGAATCGTACCACTAATAGCCCTAGAATGTTGCTACTGGTCCAGACTTTCTTCAAGATGCATCAAAGTGCACAAATTATCTGCTGATAATTAATAAACAATCGATTAATGCGAGGTGTGGACATGGAATGATTAATTATTACTTAATAACAATGGAAATCGTATCGAAAATGGTCCTTGAATGTTGCTAGTGATCTATACTAGAAAATTATTGATAATGTCTATTAACATTCGGTGGCGTGTCGCTATCCTTGTCTTTCATGATCCTTTCTCTCTCTATCTTTCATACACGCGCTCTGTCCTTATCTTACATGTTTCTTTCTCGCTCTTTCACTCACTCACGCTGTATCCTTGTCTTGCGTATACCTTTCTCTCTCTTTCCCTGAGCTCTCTCTATCCTTGTCTTACATATTCCTTTCTCTCTCTTACACATGGACTCGAGCCTCGGGTGTTTGTCCGCGAGATGGCGAGTCGGTCGTTGTATTCTGTATTCTGTAGTGCTATGGATAAGAGTCGGTCGCCGGTCACAAACGATAGCTATATGTCATACGTGGATTCCAGGCATATATATTATCAATTTAAAAAAAACAAAACGTTAGCTATCCTTGTCCTACATGTTTCTCTCTCTCGCACTCACTCTGTACCCATATTTGAACTTCTCGTGATTTCTGTCTTGCGGAACGCTCTCGGAAAATGTTCATAATTATTTAATAACAATCAAGATCGTATGGAAAATCATTCCTGAATGTTATCAATGATCTAAACTTTATATCAAGAATGCTGAAGTGGTTAAATTGTTTGCAGAAAGTTAATAAACCAACGAATAATTAGAGTACCAAGAGGGTCAGACCACTGCAAAAGCATTTTAAAGGGATCTATATTTGGAAAGTATTTAGTACCTTCAGTACGTTTTATCGAGCATATAAACAAACAAAAATTGAACACATAATTATCGTTAACGTGGAGTTACTCGATTCTACAATATAAAAATGAATCCACCTCGAGTTACGCGATTCTGATTTTCGATTGCAATTGAAAACACAATCCACCAAAATTTTCGTGCTATGGAAAGCAAGTTTGCTGAATCGTATCGTACAAATAACGTGCGACCATACAACATATATGTGCATTCCGAACTGTAGTGACGACGTTAAAATTAGTAAAATTAGCGAACCTCTGCGAAACCGTTGGTGAGTCGAAAATCACAATGTTATTTATTATAAATATTAATACTTTACTTCATTTACGCATTGTATGACAGATATTTTACTTTCAGTTAAATATACGTATAATTATCGTAAGTTTCTCTTATCTTCTTTGCATGTAATTAAACATATCGACGACACAATTTTTATTACGATTGCGCCGATTCAAACGTATCGTTGGTTTCCGCGTTAGATTCAACCTCGTCGACATTCTGAAATAAATATCGTCGAGTAATCGAATAAGTCTACGTATACTATTTATCGTATAACTTACATAGAAATTTATACTTATATTTCCTTCTTTAAATAATTTATATATCACTTACGTATGCTCAATCGACAATCGTGCTGTCGGGAATACCGTTAAGCAACATTAAAAGGAACATAAAAAACGAATGCACGACGTTGAAGACGATCATAATAAAAAGAATGTACGCGTAGCAAAGGAATAGAAAAGGACAAAATATTATACTGATAGCAATGGTAGCGAATCTTGACAATATACCGCCCATTCTTCGCTCTCGTTTGCGAGATTCAATTTTTCATTTATACGCAACGAATTTAGGGATTAACCATCAATTTTTCCTAACTTCCTATATTTTCTTTAGTATCAACGGAAACGTCGAGTTTACGTAAATATCAAACCGTTACAACTTCGCTAATTTACATTTTTCTTACATTGACTTTTTTATCGTAAACACTTTCTTTTTTTTTTATTAAAAATGTTATCATACCTCTTCTTCGTCCGATTCAACACCTATCGGGGGTACGCCAGTTAATTTAAACGCGAGCATGAAATAAATCGTAAGCGTTACGTTAATTAAAGTCATTATGTAAACAATATATAAATACGTTAAATACAAAAAGGGGAGGATAATCATTTTTAAAGAGAATTTAGCTATTCCACCGAAAAAACACCCCATACTCGAAACTAAGGTTAACAGTGGACCGAGTAACACGTTTTATTTCTATCGAAATAGCATTTCCAATGCATAAACATTTTAATTGCATTACAAACGTTCTCGTAGGCGTTCACGATCAATTATCTAACTACCTTCATACGTATCGCGTGCAAGCAAATAACTAATACTGAATCATTTTAGTGTGTCATGTAAAACGAGTCCAGTTTAAATAAAAATGGTTAAATAAAAGTCAAACATAGTCGAATATTCGAGGAAAGACGAAACTATACGTTCAGGAAATAACAAAATCAAATGCGTTTCCTAACAGTTCTTTTCAAATATAAACTACGATTACAAATAAATATATATATATATATATTACTATATTCTACAATCCTAATTTCTGCATATTTAATAAACCTACATCAGACAGGATTTTTCTTTCGTCTAGGCTTGGGAACAGGAACTTCATTTTCGATAGTGAACGTCGCATTGCTAATCGAACTTCCACTGTCGGAATGTCTAAAAACGTTCGGGTCGCTTTCTACATCTCTCTGAATCGAATCATCGTCCGGAAGCAGTTTCATCGAATCC